ACTTTGAACTGAACGATGAGGAGATGAAAGTTCTTAATACCAGTGGAACAGGGCGCAGACTCTTCGACATGCCTTTGTAAGTTAATATCTAGGATTTCATTAAACACATCTATGTAACCCCCCCTTATCTTTCTCTCCCCACGCTCTCTCTCTCCCTCTTGCTTTTCTAGAATGAAGTCCCATCCGGAGTACCCTTTTGATGATGACTACTAGAGGAACGACTTCCAGTGTGTTTTTTCGTCTTTCTATTCCCATTAATAAATACGTCTCTGTTTGTATGCATCTGAGCAACGCTCCATGACGTCGCTGATCTCTTCACAGTGACGAAGTGTATGACTGTCCTACTCTGAATACGTTTCAAATTCCATTACATGCACCCGGAAGAATTGTTTTGAGTGCACACTTTATGAAGTTGTAGCAGTCGCCCTATTGCCCCATCTTACGGCACCTCTTTCTCAGTCAATGACTGACAATCGCGCTAACCTACCGACACCCTGTTGAGGCGCGGCCACCCCTCAGGCTGGAGCGCTGCTCGTCCAGCTGTAATGAATCACGGATGTGCGCGCAAACTTGCACTGCCTCGCGCGCAAGACTGCCTGGTTTGTTTCCAGTTTGCCCTTGTGAACATGCACCTCCCCCCCCCCTCCCCACTCCGTCCCTAAGCCAACCAATCACATGCCTAACACTCAGTTACGGATTTCCTCATGCTGGCTCAGACATGTGGAACCCGCATAAACATCACTCCACGACGTACGCTCTCCCGAACAGACGCTTGCTTTGAGACACAAGTCAGCAGCCAAATCACGACAACCTGTCCTATGTACAGAATAAATCAGTCCTCGCAGCTCATTGACTTCTGACATTAGATGGAATGAATTTATTGTATGGTTAGATAGTCTCACATCCTCGATCCCAGCAGCGTGGAGAACGTTATGACCGCGTTGTTCTTTCTGAGGGACGGAAAACTCATCAAGGCTGTCGTAAGCACTTTCGAAAGAACTATGTACTTAAACTTTAGGCCGACTTAGTCATACGAAATCGCATCAGCCGAGGGGCACTTGAGAAAGGAAACCGACCCGACCCTTTGCCTTCTCATTTAACTTCGGCTGAAACGATTTCGTTAAAGGTGCCCGTGACTTAACTTAGAGTTCTCCATTCTAAAATCCTCTCTACCACACTTTTGGATTTAACCGAATTCGGCAGCGTCGACTTTCCCCGACATACGTCGTCCAGATAGACTGCCACAGCTTTGTTTCACATTTGACTTATTTCCGTTGTCGCGCGCACACGTGATTGACCTTTTGACGCCCTTTTTTTAGACTGCACCATAAAGCTGCGATCCAAGGTAGATTCCTATCGGAAATCGAACATCCTGATCACAGCTAAGTGGCTGTAATTGGAGAATGATTACGGGTGGCAGTAAGTATCCAAAGCGTCCGAGGGCTAGAGTCCCTTCCTCAGTTTTCGTACGTGCCCAAGTCCTTCAGCTCCTGAATTTCTGTCTCAGGACGTACTTCACGCTCGACGGGACAATCTAAGAACAGGTTAGGGGCACGCCAGTGGGTTCGCCGATTACGGGATTCATTGCCAAGGCGGTCCTGCAACGGTTAGAGTCGCTGGTCTTCTAACACCAAAAAAACGAAATTCTGGGCCTGATATGTGGATGATACCTTCGTCGTTATCGACCGGGATCAACTGCTGACATTCAAGGAGAATCTGAATGCGGTGTTCCTGGACATACAATTTACGGTGAAGGGGGAAAGAACAACCAGCTGGCCTTCCTGGATGTCCTCGTATGTCGCAAAGATTGTGGTGGACCGAAAGCCATAGTGTTTAGGAAAGCGACAAACACGATGCAAGTGCTGAACTTCAACAGTAAACACCCAATCAGCCACAAACGCAGTTGTGCAAGGACACTCTATGGGCGTGTCGAAACGCATTGCAGTGAGCCGGAGGACAAGATTGCCGAATTACAATACCTGCGACGGGTCTTCAAAGCCAATGGCTACCCGCGCAACTTCGTCAACCGGTGCATACGCAAAAGGGACGAAAGGCCTAACAGCACGGATACCAAATTTGGGGAGAATTTTTAAAATATCCGCTAATAATTACTGCAGTCCTGAAGATATGGTTGTATTTTCTGACGAGCATTACAGTTGGAGAATGCGCGGAAGACATAGTCATAAACCAATCAATTTCTGTTGAATGGTACGATTTGGTTCGCATTGTTTGCTCCGCAGCCCTTCTGAAACAAACGAAGCAGAAAGAAGGACCTGGAGTAGAAGGTAAAGTCGATGAAACGTTAATAAGCAGAAGGAAATATAATGTTGGTAAGCGGAAAGGCAATGGTGGCTCGTTGGCAGTACGATACTAGCCGACGGAAAGCATTATTTGAGCAGGTCAACGATAGAAGTTGGCCTGATCTGCAAGCCGTCATTACGAAGTGGGTCGCGAAAGGAAGCATTGTGGTTATAGATGAGTGGAAGGCTTATAGTCGGCTGCCCTCGGAAGGATACTTGAATTTTTCCATTAACCGCTCTAAGCACTACAGGGATCCCACAACGGGCAGACACACGAATTCGATTGAGGCGTATTGTAGTCAATTGAAAAGGAAAGTCCACTAGAGAGGCCCTGTGTGTAGTCGAATCGTATGAGCCCATAAGGACTAGTGCAATATCTTCTGTGGTTCGGCCTTATTTCCATTGAACTTAAACAGGCCGGTATTGAAAAAAATTTACATAAATGTAAGTAGAGTGTTTAAATAAACGTCCAACCCCCATACCTTGTGTCTCTTAGCTTCTGGGAACGGCTAACTGGCAGTAGTGTTGACCAGCTGTCAGTAATCTCAGAAGTTCTGTGGAAGTCATGACTATTTTAGTGGAATCACAGAGCGCGAATCACACATCAAAAGTGTGATCCGGAGTGACTCGTGATGATAACCGAAAGTAAGTATAGATCCTCCCCTCGCTCGGTAAACGTAAGAGATGCATTGACAGCTTTCTCTGTGTTATCTGCCTGTGATGAAGCGATGTAGTTAATCAACGTCCACGATGAAGTAAAGATATAGCGCCAGGTGCGTCTGTTGGTCTACAGCGATCGCTCCTCAACTGTCTGAATGTATGGTTGCCTAGATGAAGCTGCATACCGACAACGATGTTCGCTCCTCAGCTGTTTGACTTCAGGTTTTGATACATAAAGCAAAGGTCGATGTACAGCGATCGTTTCTAAAATTTCGTAGGGTATGGTAGCGTAGATAAATCCGTAAACCGACTACGGCGGTCGTTCCCTAGCTTTATAAGCTGGGGTCAAGTTTTATAAAGCATGGGTCGGACCCCAACAATAGCTTATCAACAGTTTATAGCTATGATAGTGTAAGTGTAGCGGCATACCGACTGTTTGTCAGATGAAAAAAATCGTGTTGGGCTAATACCTACTCACCTAACTAGCGTACATATGCTCTCTAGGCAACAGATGATTGGGGGGCCTCTCCTGATTGGTGCCTATATCTCACATGCGTGAGACTACCATAGGTCAAGTTAAGAAGGAGCCGTTTCAGCCTAACTCCGCACAAATACAACTGGGGCGTCAGTCGGCAACCTTCCAAGCCACGACGCTTGACGTGCCGGGATAATCTCTGACTCGTATCATACATGCATTAGAAAGGCTGTTTGGAGACGGAGCGGAGACGCACACTTTTCACTGGGGTGGGAGTTGGCAACTGGATGCTTGCGGTGGACGATGATGTTGTGTGCTGCAGGTGGGGAAAGCTGTGGTGTTGGTGCCCCAGGCACTGGCTCGCCAGTCTCTGCGCGATGGATTAGCATGTCACCGACTAAGCCGATGCCATGAGGACAGGCACTGACTGAGTCCACATCGCTGGAGTTGTTTGTTGGGGGTTGGCTGGTTATTTAGGATTGCATGCAATGGATGTGAGTACAGGAGCTGCCGCATCGGACTTTAAGGCGGGGGGAGGGGGTGGAATTGGGGTTAGTGCGGTCAGTGTTAATTGTCGGCATTGGAAGCAAGGCAGGTGTGGATGGTAGGACAGCAGCTGCCGTCGTTCGGGTGCTGAAGTTGGCGCAAAGATGTTCTATAAGTCCGACTGGTGACCGAAACGTCTGCAGACATCGTGGGCGGGTTTGGGGGTGGTCGAGCTTCGGCGTTGAGGAATGCGCACAGTGGAGATCTACGAGCTTCGTGCTTGACTTTGGCGGCAGTGATGCGGTCGGCTTCGCAGATCACTGCGCCTGTCTCCACTGACCCCCTCGAGGTCCGTCGGTCCCGGACGAGGTCTTCTCAGTTGGCCAGGGTAAATTGCGGGCGCTTCGGGGAAGTCCTTAGGGCGTGCTTGTATTGCCAAATGTGACCTCCTTGTCGGCAAGAACCTCGTGACGACATCTCCATAGAAATGCCGTTTGGGGTTGCGGCTCCCACGCACTCGCAACTGTGACAATATGGCGTAGATGCTGAGGATCACGGTCCGTTTGAGTACGTATGTGTCCAGTATCTGGTTCTGCCACCTCATTTTCAGTATTCGTCAAAGACAGCTGAGGTGGAGGTGATTGAGCCTTCGCGGCCGCTTCTTGTATAGCATCTCGGTCTCAGCGTCAGAGCAGCGTCAGCAGAATAACTGCTTTGTGCATCTTCCGGTTGGTGCTCAGGTAGAGAACATGTTGATTCTAGACTGTGTTTGCAGAAGGCTTGGCTGGCTTTAGAAATCCGACAGACCACTTCATCGCCGATCATGACGTTGCGAGCAAGGGTGCAGTTGAGCTCTTTTCATGATGATTTTGAGTGTGTTGTGGCCAGGCTTGGATGGCGGTTGATGCATAACCGCCGCCTCCTCCCTTTTGCTGACCACTCGAGGTGGCGCTGAGTGCGCAGTCGTTGGGTAATAGAAGTTCGTTGGCGTAGTTGTAGAGATATGCGATCGCAAAGGGATCCGTCGCTGATTGAGGAGTTGTCTGACCGTCCTGTAGGCAAAGCGGATCTCGGGGCATTCATCACGGTAAACGTCCATTAGCGTGGCAGACAACATGAGACTGAAGAGGGCTGGCAAGAGGAGACGGCCCTGCTTGACTCCGTTGGACGCTAAGAATGTCTCTGAGACGGCTACACTGTCAGTGGCATGCGCCGTCATACCTTCGTTGAGATGACGCGCTATTTGAGCAAATCAGTCGGGACAGGCGCTATTCTGCATGATCATCTACAGTCCTTCGCGATTCGCCGTGTCAAGGATTTTCGTCAGATTTGCGAGGGTAGAGTAAAAGTGGATCCGCATCTCCTGACTCTTCTCCTGTAGATGGCGGGTGGTGAAGCTGATGTCAGTGATGGCGCGATGACGGCAGAAGCCGCACTGGATTTCCGGCTGGAGACCTTATTCCACATGTTGAGGAGGGAGATTCCTCTGTGGTTGTCGCAGATTTGGAGATTACACTCTCGCTTACAGAGATGGACGACTGTGGCATTCTTGAAATGTTGAGGGACTTCCCCTCGACGCCGCATCTCCTGGAAGAGCGTTTTCAGATGACCCATAATTTGAGGTTCTCTGTGTTTGTAGATCTCAGCAGGGATCGCGTCCGCTCCGAGCGTTTTCTCGCCGCTGAGCTGCTTCGCGGCCTTGATGGTTTTGTGTGGAGAGGGCGGAAGAACGGGATCAGCTTCGGCCACCACTTCAGGCAGACGGCCGATGCCAGCGTCAGAGATGGTGGAACGGAGGTTGAGGACGCCTCTGAAGTGCTTTGCCCATCGCTGCAGAATTTTCGTCAATTCATTGAGTAGGGTAGTTCCGTCGGTGCTGAGAAGACGAGCGATGCCTCTGAGTGTGGGACTGTACACAGTCTTGATTTCGACGTAGAAATCATTCCATTTATTGCTCTTGGCGTATCATTGAATCACCTCTGCGTTGCGAGTCGTCCAAGCGTCCAGCATTTCACGCAGTCGCTGCTGCACAAGGCTGCGACTGCGGCAGAAGACTGCTTTGCTGTCGTCGGTGAGGCGGTTGACGTAGGCTTTGTACAGTCGATTTTTCTCGATGAGAAGATTCCTAAAGACGGCGTCATTTTCGTCGAACCAGTCCTGATGTTGGCGACGAACGCGAACGAGGACGGCCAGGACCATCGACTGGACCGTGTCCCTCACTTGACACCGTCGGTTCTCTACAGAGGCGTTCTCTTCGGCGGAGGCGGCGGTGTCAGGAATTTCGACTAGGCTTTTAGCTGGTTTATTACTGAAGTGGGGATGCTGAGCAGGCGAAGACAACAAATCAGTATTCAGCTTACCTGGGGGTCGCTTACCTTGAGGTCTCCTGCTAGGCTTTTGACGTATACTCATCTTTGAGATGTCGAGGCGATGGTCGGTCCACTCGTCGGGACGCGCGGTCGACTTTATCACCGTCATGTCCGGCTGGTTCCGCCTCCGGACGAGGACATAATCCGGGAGGTACCAGTGTCGCGACCGAGGATGCATCCAGGTGAGCCCTTCCAGTTGGTCTTATTCAGAAAACCGAGCCTCGCTGATTGCAGCGATGTCCACCTTGTAGCCCACCAGTTCCCCAGCCAGTAACAATGTCCTCAAAGCGAACAAGCATTCCAGTCTGCCAAAGCGAGCGGAATCGCCCTGCCAATCTGTGGGCTGTGGCAGCGGCAGGAGGAGGAGGAGGAGGAGGACGGAGAATATGTGCAAAGAAATAAAAATGTGTCCGGCCTTCAAGTCACTGGGTCAGCAGCTTGCTAAGTGCTGAAAATGCAAGGTTTAGCAGGGAAGGACAATCAAGCGATATTCAACTGCCCTGGGGGTCACCTACTCTGAGGTCTCAAGCCAGGTTGCAGACGGAGTCTCAGTTCGAAGATGGCTGTGCGATGACCCTTCCGGTCAGCGGCGGTGGGATCGGAGCAGAGTTACTGTGTTTGTGGAGATGCGCAATCGGATACCTTCACTTAGTTTTGCCCGCCGGTCGAGACGGTTACTACGGTATGGCTGCTAGACAGACCCTAACTTCAGAAAGCTACATGTGAGAGTTGAATGCCAGTCAATGGATGCTCGACGTTGTCTACACCTACAAGCGACTGAGCGGCCTACTACGTGGACCCACAACCTGACACTCTTACATCCCACCACCACTAGTGCTAAATAATACCTAAATACACGAACATTACAACTTCTTCTCCAAAGTACGATTTCCACCGTTGTTACAACTGAGGGCAAAAGCTGTGCACCTACCACTACGAGCAGGACAAATATGCCTCAAATATCTTAGTGATCTAAAATCTCACATATCCACATTTGGCCAGACTAGTATCCCCCACCATTAAATTTCAGTACATTTTTAAGGCCTAGTGTTTATAATGACTGTAGCATGGTAAACCACCGACATCGTCTGGCACGACTGTCGAAATACCATGATGGTGATTCAATCACAGGCGTATACTCTATGCATAATTATAAAAAGATTGCATTATTCATGTTTAACAGGAAGCCATTAAGTATGGGATCTTAGCTTGCAAGCTACATTACACTAGTGGAAACGGATTTAAATGAACACTAAATACACCTATCGACATCTGGTAGGGAGCGCAGTTCTGCCTAGGTAGTCTGATGGTAGAATTTGATTTGGGTCTAACCCAAGAAAACCTAGGTAATGGTGAGTTTCGATATCCAGACTTCAGTGTTAGGACAGGACGTTGTAGCAGCACTGGGGGACTCGCATTTGCAGCGACAAGTAACGGAAGCATATTTTGTGGACCTGCGTCAAGATTAGGTACTCCTAGAAGCAACATCTACCCCCAGTCCTTGTACGTGGGCTTATTGTGTCAGATATTCCATTGTTAAGGAGGAATGACGACCAAGGCTACAGCTACTGGAATGGCTATTTCTACCTTCATGTAGTCTCCGACTAGTCACATTAAGCAGCATTCTAACTGAAATGTTAAATCAAGTCAGCAGTTTTGTGGAACAGCTGCATGTTTCTTAGACTTCCCTTGCTATTTCTAGAACACTTTCATAGGGTCTTGTCCTTTCCATGAGGGAATTTAGCGTCCTTGGAGGATCCGAATAAACCCCGCGACTCGTCTGAAGCAGATGCGTTTATGAGACAACAAACATTCAAATCACTTATGCGTCACCAAACCGACCAGTCAGTTAGATCGAGATTCATTAATACTTATAATTCATTCGAATGGCAATCTGCTCACAAGTTTTGCCTAGGTCTGAGAAGGTTGTCATGAGTATATTTTCAAAATAGGCGCAGTTTTCAATTAACTATTTATCTTACTCCCCTACTAAAGACGAGGCCTTAAGTAGAGCAACGATGGCTGGAACGATTTTTTACTTTTTGGCCGCAGACAATTGCCTGGCCAAATAAACAGAAGAAGCTCTCTTTTGCCGCAAAGTAGGTTCGGAAACTCATCATTCGAATTATTTTCATTGAATCTGCTTGTCAGGAAGGGGAAAATAGTCGTGTTGACGAACATCTCGCCAGTGACCATGTGGGATTTACATACGCGCACAGACGAACCGGGGTTCTAGCACTTTTACTCAGGACATAAATGCCTGTTACAAGACTAAATTATTACTCCAAGACCCAACTATTAAGCTAGCAAAGGCCCTGCATGCGACGGGCATATGGGCCGCACGCTTTCGCGAAAATCGATAGATTCAAAATCCGATCGATAATTCTCTCCAGCCTGCCCAAGCCCGATCCATTCGCAAGCCCATTCGTCATGAACGCGCTTCGCCGTCTTCTGCAACGTATTCGCCGACCGCATTACGGTAGACGTCTACGTAGATCTGTACAGAATCGGACACTAGGTGAGTGCAACTTCATTTAGACATTATTTTCATATCATTAAGGGCAATGATCAAACATTTAACAGTTTAATGATAATCTAACTGATGATTTGTCCGTTGAAATAATAAAATGTCATACCTGATCTGGCTAACGGAGTATCGGCAACATGCTGAAGAAGTTTTCAAGTGTTAGAAAGAGTTGTTAAGTCAAACAATTCCCGTGAAGTTGAATATGCAATATTTCTGGTATGGATATGGGAGACATGCAGGACGTATATTTGGGGCCCAAAAGTCTGACGACGAGTTGGGGAAACAGACTCGAAAATTAACGCACTAAAGGTTATTATCCTCCCAAAGAATCCTATGTGTTTTCAATGGAGTATATTAAATTGGATAAGTCTCTAGTGAGAGATTGAGACAAGTGTAGGTTATGGATGGCTACATGGGTGTATTGTGAACGGATGTATCCTCATAGCAGGCAGTAATGACCTGCTACTGATTGTCTGCAGACTGTTTCCGTCTTATTCACCGACATCAGCGAGAAATGGATATGCAACTTCACAGTCTTAATTAAAAAAGTCTTGTTGGATCGAATACGACTCGGTCGGGCAGGGCTTGAAAGTATCCCCAGCAGGATACACTAGGAGAGATTAGTTCAGACGGGAATATTCAAGATTATTTTATATATTCCTTGCTAAACGTGTTATCGTTTTTCACTCAACGTCCTATCCGCATCCGTTTATCTCAACAAAGCTAGATGCTGCGTATATATAGCTAACAGAGTTGTAACTCAAAAAGTAATTCCTACTAAATGCCATTTTGTTATTGATAGGAATCAGGCTATCCAATTTGGACGGACGTTAGCCACTGCTTTTAGAGTAGAGAAGCTTCATAAAGGCAAAACGCAATATCCACGTCAATATTAGTATCATACTAACAGCTAACAATGCTGCTGATTAATCGTCATATTGGTTTTTACCGTCTACGCTGGCTAGACCATAATATCTGCAGGTTGTAGGGTCGAAGCAGACCGTGGCACACTTGTAATGCTAAGTACAATCTGAATGTGGGGTCAGATCTCGTGGAATGAGCCGTATCTTGATGGCTGGAAGTGCTACTGTCGCGTTTTCAGGCCTTCGCTCACGTTTGGAAGAGTCTTCCAGTTTTCCGACGTACTTACTTTGACCGCATTTGCAGGCATTGAGCAGACTAAGTTGTCTGTCTCCTCGCATATTTAGAGATAATTTTCCAATCATTATCAATAATCTCCCTTGCTCCATATCGCCCTTACTCACCTACTCTCTCGTCGTTCTCGTCCCTATTGCTAATTTATCTCACACGCTGGACTGATAACCGGTAAAGTATCAGCATCCAAAATTATGTATGATTGCTTGAGGGCTATAGATCGCCGATCAGCAGTAGGATACTAACGAATCAGAGACAGAATCGGATGATGATTTCGATCTAGTTCATCCTCCTTATTGATTCCCTTCATCGCCTGTGCCATCGAGTATTGCTCATGGGAATACAATGACAGGGTGGTTCTGTGGATCATCACCTCTATACCGTCTAGCGATAGGTTTTAAACAAGCAAACGAGGCTGGAGACAAGCGAACGCTGGAGGTTTTGACTCACTGCTGTCTCTGTCATTCGAGGTAGGTCGAAGATTTTGCCTTGATGAGAAGCGATCTGCACTGGCATGAATAAATGCGCCACAATGTGTCTGTAGCTATGCAAGAGATCTGACTCGGTTGCTTCGGGCACCTTGTCTACTGCCTGTCTCACGGGTTAGACGATGATGCCTACCTGGATATGTAATGCAGGTGGGAGGGAGACGGATTGTCAGCTTAAATCCTGACCGAGCGCTTCGTCAAGTCGTAGACCTTCGGTGTTCATTTATCATACACTCAGCGCTCGATTCTCGATCCCGGGGAGACACTTTTCAGAAGGCCATTAAAGCCGGCTAGATGAGGCATGATCAAAGCATGACTAAACCCTATTACGGAAGGGACCAGTTGCGGCGCCTACGGGTTCCATACACCCGTATAGTACTAAAGAGAGGACAGGATAGAGATCTATATTTCGGCAGTTGGAGAAGAAATATCTGTGGACTTTACCAGTTTATTTCTTTCGGAAAACACCTGAGAGATTGATTGTACAGCATTGTCTTCCAATCGATATTTTGCATTAACTTACCGGCGCCACTCTTCTTTCCAGGTCCAATTTACTGTATCCACCCTGTATCCGTAGGCACTGACAATATTTTCGAGTCAGTTCAATTTATCCCAGCAGATAAGCCGTTGGCCATCGACGTATTTCCAGTTATCCAGAAACCAGGTGAGCAATAGAGTTATTTTTACAATTATCCCTTTCATTTATGCTAGCTGTTTTTATTCTCAAACATGATTAAAAATACATTAATGTTCCTCGTTTCTTTTGCAGATCTATTCTACCGTAGTTTTGCCATTACCGTAGAAGAAGACCCGGTTTTTGAGACTGCCCAGCTTAAGGATATTGACAGGGATTTTACCTGTGAAGTTCATACGACAGGTGAGTTACATCATTTCTATTGTCACTGGATATATTTACTGCGTGCAAGTTTCTACCACAGACTCTGACTTCCGTCAAAGTAGCCTTTATTCCCTAAATGGAATGCCCTTCTAGGCAGCCAAGCAGATTTT